GAGGTGGTGGGTTCAAGTCCCGTTAACCACCTGAGAACGCTTAGTGCCAACCAACTGAGATAGTTGCCTTGCTCCCCCTGGTAGGTATTGGTAGGGTCTTTGGCCATCATGTGTGTGTGTGTGTGTGCGTGTGTGTGTTTGTCATATTTAGCTATACACTAAAAAAATCATGACTGTGCCAGACTGTTTCGTCGGACTTTTGATTCATCAAGAGGGTGAAACCCGGCAGTCTGCCCAGGATTCATTTGACTAATGGACAAGGACTCACCACATTGGCCCTTCTTTTTCAAGATACTGTAAGTGGGCCTCATTCAATTCTTCAGCGGTATGACCCTCGGCCTCTTCTACATCAAAATGAATCTGGCGCTGTTTATGCTGTTTATGCGCCAGATTCATGATCCGGTAGGGCCCTTGGAGCGGCGTGTGGCCCTGTAGTAACCCACATGGAAGACATTGGGCCTGTAGTACCAAGCAGCCGAACTTTGGGCGGCCAAAAACCGAAAAGGTTTTGGCGTGGGCGCTTTGTACCAATTATCCCATGACAATGGCTCTGGCCGCGGCTGGCTTCCCATACATCAGACTGGAATGGGCGATTGCTGAAGATGTTGGCTGCTGACCGGCAGGAGAACTTGAGGGTAAATTCTTACGTTGGAGTATGCCGTGTTAGGCAAACTGCTGATTCTTCTTGTTGGACATGGTGACCAGACGTGGATTTAGACGCCTGGGACATTATTTTTCTCCCTTTTTTATCCAGTTGGTTGGTTGTTGCATTTTGCTCTGTGTACGTAGGTTTTGTAGCCGCTTTAGGCAGATTAATAATCTTTTCTAAGTACTCTGGCGGGACGGATTGCTTTGACGAATTTGGAATTTGTGTTGACGATTTGGAATTTGTGGAAACCCTAATTTGGCTATTGAGCGTTAGGAATTATGGGTAACCTTGATTGTGACGAACCACTTCCCGACCCCATGCCATCTTTCGTACCCTTTCTTTTGCTTGTATCATACCAACCCCAGGAAAACCCCGTTTTGAGTTCTTGCTTTCGGGTGCCGCATTTTCCTTTTTGAGAGCTTTTTCGACTGCTGAGTTCTGTTTTTCTTCTTGCAAAGTCGGGAAATACATGGGAATTTACGTGCGCCTTAGCGAGCGCACGGGGAATTGGGCTCGGTAGTTGGGAATTCTGGGATAAGCGGAACTTCGACGTGTCCTTTTTGGGTGTGTGAATGTTCTTGGGCGTGTCGGGGAAAACTCTCGGAATTTTGCGTGAATACGAATAGGCGTAGGATTCTCTTTCCCGCGTCGCTTTTTCGCACGCCGATATGGTGATCATTTCAATTTTGAATTAGGATAGAAGCAAGCTGTAACTGTTTTGGTGCCTTTTTCTTTTTTTGTTGACGGCGCTGTGCATGCAAAAGCTTCCTCCTCTCTGTCCCCCGCATCGCTCCCTCCCGCGCCTCCCTTCCCTTCTCCCTCCTTTTTCTCTCTCCCTGTAATTGTTTTTCCTTCTCCCTCTCTCTGTCTCCCACCTTGCTTTCGCGCGCCCATTTCCCTTTCTTGATCATTTGAATCTTGGACCCGTCTTGTGCCACCTCTCGCTTTTCTCTTCTCACCCTCTACGTCTGGCGTACGACGCCCGGTCGATCCCCCGATAACTCCTGCTCGCCAATCAGGTGCGTGGATCGATACGACCTTCCTATCGCGCGACGAATCTGATTGGTAGAACCTTGAGTTCCGAGGGATGAGCATGGCGCTCGTAGAGCACTCTTCTCAAAGTCTTCTCCTCCTGCTTCTCCTCTTACACCTCAGCTTTCTTGTCGCCTTCTCCTCCTTCTATCTCCCCTGTAGCAACTATAAAACCCGCAAGCACGTCCGCAAATCTCTCTTACGATCTTGATTCCTAAGCCAGCTTCCGGGAAGCAGTGGCTAGGCAGAGTGGATTGATGCGAGTCGAAAAGTCCTATCGGGTTGACGATAGGCTGGCCGGTTGCGCGCTTGATCGCCACGATGGACTGTGGGATCCGGGCGAACCGTGTCGAGTTTACGACAGCGAGGTTACGATCCCAGTGGTGGGAGTTAGTACGCGACGGCCAGGATCGTCGGTGCGGGTACGAGGTTCGATGATTGGAGTTGAGTGAGTAATTGGCCCGGGGCCATAGTGGAATTAACGGCGAATGCGCCTTTGTTGCGGATTGTTATCCTTGGCGTGAGTGTAAGGCGGCGACGCCGAACTTTTCTGTTTTCGGACCTTGTCGTCTTCTATTTTGACTCTCTCTCTCTCTCTCTCTCTCTCTCTCTCTCTCTCTC